GTGGTGTTGAACAGATCCGAAGAATGCATACTGTCAACGTTTTGATAAGACCTAGCTTGTACCTTCGACATTGATTGGATTCATATAATAAATATAACCCGGTATCAGTAGGCTTCTTGTACAACGTTGTGTCATATCTTCTGTCATTGCTATTTCTCATGATCATAACATCAAGATACGGCAATTGTCCATTATTTTCAACTTCCGCGGTAAAGTGAGTATTTCGATGCCTATGATTGATGGTGTTTAGAAATGCTTCATAATTCTATTTTTTTGAAAATACACAGAATACATCGTCGACATACCTTAAATACAATTGTGGTTTGTTGAACGATAATTTATTTAATTTTTGTTCCAACTTAATCATCAATACGTCGACCAAGATAGGAGCTAAACAGCTGCCCATGGCAGCACCATCCTTCTGTTTGTATAACTCTGCTTGAAATCTGAACGGAACATCACATATCGCTAATTTCAATAATTCTTTCATCTTATCTCTACAATATGGAGCATCATTGGGTTTAATACCATCAACATAAATCAGGTCCAATGCAGTTTCAATGGCTTCGTACACAGGAATGTTTGTGTATAACGATTCAATGTCAAAATTTACCATAATTTGACCATCCTCATAATCTATATTTTTGATTCTTTCGACGAATTGAAATGAGTCTTTGACAAATGATGGAGGTGGAGTACGATATCTTTGAATAATTTGTGCCAAGTGTCTTGACAATTCATAATTGTACGAACCGACGGACGAAATAATAGGTCTTAACGGATAACCATTACGATGTACTTTCGGCTGATCGTACATAACACTAAGTGAAGTACTGGTAGATCGAAGTCTATAATATAATGGTTGTTCAATTATATTTTTGAGATATAAAGAACGTAAGTATTGATTCATTTTCGTTTCATTTTCTTTCAGTACATTTAATCTATTGACTGCTGACATTTTAACGAATTGTTTTAATTTCAATACTTCATGTGATTTGTTTAGATAATCATTCATATCCGTCACCACTATACAATTACCCTTGTCCGCCTTACAAATTACAATCTTTTTATTATCTTTTAACGATTTGATGGCGCTGTATTCAACATCACTAATGTTACGAATAGATTTTCATTTAGATATTTTCATCATTTGTTGTGAATAGGAATATAAACTGCGACATACATCTTTGAAGATAGAGGAATGACAGTATCTTTGCAAATATGATGTATTAATTTCCATGTCCGTTTTAAAATCAATGAAATTGGTAATTTTGTGCTCAATACAGACTTGCCATCCACATAATAACAACCGTTCTTCATTTGGCACAGATGTAAGATGAAACGTTATGTACCAATTATATTTCAGTTTTTTATACCTTTGGCCAATCGCAGAATTGCAGAATGACGCAGAATTCTTCGCTCTGTCAGGCTATATGGTTTTGAAATTTGTCTGATCAAAAACCAAAGACTTGGGTTTTCTAGCCTTCAGGCTTTTCAGAAATCCTGCTATCAAGTTTCTCATAAAATGGCGGCAGGCACCTCATCTGACAGAAAAATCTTCGGGCTATTCAAAACAGTATTCCGCTTGGTTCCAGATTTTGATGAAAAATCAAAAACAAAGGAGTTCTTATGATTATGATACACTGTGCTGCGTATAAAGCACTAAAACGCTTCTTGTGTATATCTTTAATGGCTGACTCCACCTGTCTAGATTTTCTGACCAGCTTAGTTTGTAGAGAATTTCACGTGCTATCCAATGGTATCTTTTTGAAAAATATATAGTTTTTCAGTAAGAAAGAACAGACCTTCAACGTGAACGCTTACGCCGACCGTTTACCTCGACTTTGATCGCAAAACTTTCTGTTACGAATTTGCTTATCCCAAACTTTTGACGGTGATTCCAGATAGTACACTGAGAGTACTATCTACTGCAAGTGATCCAACTTCAACGTAAGTTCATAATAACGAGATCGATCCATCGCAAAAGTGCTCCATGAAGCTCGGTCTTGCTGTAATGTATGGGGTAAAAGGTGTACATAATACTTGTATATGATTATTTTGTAGACACCAAGTACTACCTATCTTGAAAAGGCTTCATCTCCTCTCGTCCACGAGAAATACGAAATGTACGTTTTTCACGCGCATCACTTCTGGAACTTTACTCCAGTAGAAAAAATTTCATATCCACAGAAAGAAAAGTTCGGGAAGGCTATAAATTTGAATCTATAGATTTTCGACTATGCTCTACAAGATGAGGCTACTTACAAAAATCTGAAATAGGCATTGAGCACGCTTCTGTGAGAAACAGTCGTCTTTCTCGTGCAATTACTCCTAGGATTAGCAAATCACGAAATATAATTTCTAAATCAGCTCTATTCAAACATAGTATAGATAAGAAACATACTATACACTGGGATGGTTTCAAAGTTTTACTAAAAGATAGTAATCCATATCGACTATTGATTGAAGAATCTTTAGTAATTTTAAGTCATCAATCAAAAATTAAACGGTACTGTTCGCTCAGTACCTCTGTTTGTTTTTCCTAACGGAATTTCGAAAAATCTCATCCCAGATCCAGGTGGCTAATACTTTTCATCATAGCAACATAGTAATCTAGTTTCTTACTCTTTCTGTATGTGTTAGACCAGTATATTCTACCATACTAGAAAAATGAAAATGAATATCATACATGTAGAATATACTTTGTCATCTCTTCTCCATGGTTGTTTTGTGAAACTATTGCATGTTACTTGCTCAAATGTTGAAATCTTTCTCTTGCTTCATCGTTACCTCTTTTTAAAAATATTTTCCTCGTTTATTCTCTCTCCTTGTTTCTCCGTCGCCTATCGGTACTGTATATCTATACATTTCTTACTTGCGCTAAATGAATAACATTTTGGTTTTCACAAGTTACGTACATCATGTTTTTATTCTTAAAAATGAACTTTGTATAGTTCGAAACGTCGAAAATAATTGATAATTAAATAAATACTTTAATGAAGTTAAAAAACGCTGCTGTTATTGTGCTTTCTAGTTTGAAATTATTGCCTATTAATCGTAATAATAATAATACTTTCTTTTATCGTAGTCGTTCTTATACACTTGTAATATTACATTAAAAGATGATGCTAATAAGACGAAAGAAATTAATCCGTAAAACAATAGTAAACAGCTTTGAAGAGGCGACAGTCTCTTGAAACGTTTTTTAGTTATAATAGTTACAACTGCAACTCTGTACCTAGTAGACGATGGGTCTCTGTGCTCAGATATCGTTTTCTGACTAAATGCAATATATCAGTAAAAACTACGCATCTCTTTGACGAAGTGAAAACGGTTTATCTTTCCAATCAGATGTTTTTTACT